ATGCGGGATGTTTGTTTTTGATTTTGTCGACTGAAACGTGTTGTAGAGTCATTTGGGCACTGTCTGTGAGAAAAGGAGCACCATGACGCAATTCACTCGGACAGAAATTTGCAAACGGCTTGCTGTACTTCTTGGCATTCGCTCCGGTAGCTCCTATACGAACATTTCAGGGTGTTTTGGTGTCAATTTGGGGATATTGCAGAGGATTCGGAAAGAGTTGAATGATATATCCAGTCAAGATCATGGTGTTTGGAGTGAGCACGTGATAACGACGTTGTACCTCCTTACATCTTCCCACAGAGCCACAGATCTCCATAATTATTGTGTGTGGAGCGCAGTTGAGCAAGAGACCAACAAAACTACTTGTAAACACCAAAGATGAAATGAAAGCAAGGATTATGGCAGCATTCGCCAACTTAAACAAAGTGACCGGCCAGGAGATTTGTACGAGATTCCGAAGTCGTCTGGATGTTGTGGTTGAAACAATGGCAACTTTATTAAATAAATTTACTTTTTAGTATTTCAAGATATTTTTGTGTAATTTTTGTAAATATATCTGTTATGTCAGTGTTATTTTCAATTTTGCCTAATTTAGACGCCAAGTAATCCATCACACTCTGGATATATACAAAAAAAAACTTTATTAAGGAGAGAAAACTGTAAAAGTTCAGTAATTCAGAAGACAAAAGATAACGACTGATATTACATTTTAATTTTTGAAGATCAAACTTGACTGTAAAGTAAGAAGCCGGAAGTCTGTTTTACATGCGAGATCTGAGAGAGAAGAAATTGTTAGCATATAATTTGGGGGTGCATCACAAGGAGTGGATTGTAAAGACTTGCCGAGGAAATGGTCAACAAGTGTCGTATTCCTATTGTCAAACCAGAAACAACGTCAGGGATGTCTATTGTTTTTAATCATTTCACCTCTAGCTAGGCAATAAAGTCACTATGATACAAGGGTTTACTGAGTGTGAGAGAATATGAGAAAAACATTGTTAAAGAGAGTGAACAATAAAAGAGCAGGAATGTAACGTTTGGAATTGCATTTAACTTTTTGAAGATCAAACTTGAATGAAAAGTAAGAAACTGGATGAGATTTCGACAAGCGAGAAGTGTGAGAGAAGCAACTGTTGGCATAGAACTTACGGTTGCATCTAGCCACTTCAACTGTAAAAAGATTTTACCGCTAATTTAGTACTGTGCTTAAATTCGTAAAGTTTAGGTACCAAAACGTAAAGCTCATCAGAAAGATTACCATGAAAGTATTTATAGAAAAGACGCAGGGAAGCTAGTTTGCTGAGATGGGAAAATGCCTGGAGCTGAGATGCCAGGTCAGGACCAGTAACATTGCAGAGTTTTATTTTATTTATTTATTTTTGTATTTTTATCAAGAATCTCTAAATACATAGCAAAAGAACCAGATGGCAGCAGCAATATTCAAAGCAAGGATGAATGGTAGACTTATGAAGTTTTGTCTGGGATTTGATATTTTAATCTTTACAACGGTTACGCGATGAAGATTTCACAGAATTAACTTGAGGATTCAAAATATCCTATAAGTAATCAATGTGATTTAACTATGAGATGTTTGATGTCCTGGAAAACGCAATAAAATTTGCCATCATATACTTGAAGCCATTCTAGGACAAGTTATAATGTGACAGAGCGAATTCTCTTATTGAAAATACCACTACCAGCAGATGATTTTTCCATAAAGTGATGCACTTAGTTTTCTGTGATAATGATGTGGGTGGTACGCTACTAAGTATCTTCCATATGGGTGACAGGACCCACGGTTTCCTTGCAAAAACTTAGCTCAAACCCATCAAACTACCTCGACTTGATTATTGTTTTCTCACAGCGCCTTCTGGTGTTATCGCTATCCTAGAATAACGGCATACTTGTATACTATCGCTTATCTTAATGAGGAGAAATCGACCAGGTAACACTCTTCTATTGATACAAAGTCTAGTTCACATGTTCATTGAAGATGATTTCGGCGATAAACATTGATACATTGGCTGACCAGTGTCCGCAAAGGCCATACACAGCAATAATTTATGTACTGTGTGATGTGATGAATTACTTTCTTCACCTTGATTAAAATTATCTGACATTTGTTCCACATTAATTCTTCTGCTGGAGTGCACTTGGTGAGAAAGCTTCTGTTCACTTGACGCATTAAATAAGTTGTCGCCAGCGGTTGGTGACTTTTCCCGCCCCAGACCATCATTGATATCTACTCACTACCAGCCGTGCCATCTCGGAAATCTTCTGAAGTAGTTTTCTGACTTTAACAATTTGCCTTTTGTCAAAGCCACTCCGTTTTTTTTTTGTTTTTTTTTTGTTTGTTTTTATTGTTGTTGCTCACGACTGCAACATTCAACATATAACAAGTATTTTAAATTGGCTTTCCGAATTATCTAAAGAAAACTGAATTTGACTTACTAAAGTATCTTTAAAAAAAAGGTTGAAATTGGGCTTACCGAAATATAGAAAAAAAAATTTGAAAATTGGTTTACTGAAATAAGTAAAAAGATTTGATATTTGGCTTACCGAAGTATGTAAAAAAAAAAAAAATTGAAATTTGTTTACCTAAGTAAATAAAAAAAATATTGGAATTTGGCTTATCGAAATGTTTCAAAAATACTTTGGAAATTGGTTTACCTAAATAAGTTTTTTAAAAATAATGAAATTTGGCTTATCGGACGGCATTTAAGCTAGCTCCTTCGGAGTGCTCTTTGATTGGACCTTCGGCTTGTTCTAGAGTTTGAGAGTGCCTGAGTCTTTGCATATTCACATCATTGGAAGCTCTTCTCGCTGCCATTTGATCTGAGTTTTAATTTGTGCAGGACTTTTTTTTTCTTCACTACAGTCTTGGCTTTTTTTTATTGTAATCTAGTCCTCAGTTGGTGGAGATTTCTTTTTTCGAGGCATACTGCTGGCGTCTGCGATAGGCATCAATAAAATACAGAAGAACTAAAAAATGGATCGTTGCATTTAAATATTGGATTAATATTTAAGCTTACCTTTTAAAAGTTCAACGATAATTCTTCTGTCGCTACATAAATTAAAGACAATTTGGTGTACGTAAGTCCTTACTTTCCGTACAAACAATTATTTTTATTTCAAAGGTGACTTTCGCTGGATTTAGCAATTCATTTGGATCATTCCCAAATTTATCTCTAAGTTATAAAAATTGTTATCGTCCACAAAAACTCGTCGCAAAAATCACGTAAAATAATCTTCGAAAACACAAATTCTGTAACACGAGCCATTAAAAGTTAGAGAGTTGTTTCCCTTTAATTGAAAAAAATGTGACAGTGGCACACTGACATTCGCATTTATTATATAGAAGTAAACATTTCAAATATTTGTAACTAATTACTTATAAATTAAAGTTTTTCAAGCATTTTTAATTTTAATTTTGATAATTAACACCTACAGCTTAAAAATAGAAAAATGTATCTCAAGATATTAAAATATTCCATTTCGAGTTTGTAAATGCCGTGAATCTCTCAGTCTGCTTGAATGCATACAACCAGAATCAGGAAGATTGTTGATTTGACAGTTGCCCAAAAAGGCACTCATTGATACGGCCCTGATGGAGAGTAAGCCACTGATGGTTATTGCTGAAAGGGCTGTTCGCAAAATGCTGGCTGTATCAAAGAGTATTCAAGGAAAGTCCCTGGAGGGGAAATGTATTGTAGGAAAAACATGCACAAGCAAAAGGGTTAACTGCAGCCTAGAGAGGATTGTCAAGAAAATCCGATTCAAGAATTTGAAGGAGCTTCACAAGGAGTGAACAGTAAAGAGGTGCAGGAAATGTGCGATAAGTGTTGTATTCCTAGTGTCAAACCAGAAGCAGCATCAGAAGTGTCTTTTTTTAGTCATTTCACTCCAAGCAAGGTAATAACGCCATTAAAACGCAAGGTGTTACTGATTGTGAGAGAATATAAGAAGAAGGCACTATTAACGAGAGAGAACAATAAAAGAACAAGAATTAAGAAGACAGAAGATAACGATTGACATTGCGTTTAAATTTTTGAAGATCAGAGTTGACTGCCCCAGGTCATTTTTTGAGATTAACTGCCAATTTGACATTATCTTACTGTTGTAATCTGGGGAAGGTTGCTGAATAGAATAATGACACAAAGGTTGGTAATGAGCGATAATACTTAGGACAAGAACAACACATATAAGATTTTCCAGATTTTAAGAGTCGGTCCAGGTTGCGTAACATTCCGTTACGTTTTCTTATAGTTAAGGCCGGCTAAAGATGTGTTCTCAAATATCTGGTGCACGTTATTTTTTTAGATATCGCTATTTATGTTTTCTGATAAAAATTTTTTAAAAAAATAACAGAAACAGAAACACAGTCACTTCATGAATTAAACAATTGAATCAGAAAGGGTGTTAACATGTGTAACTACCTTTCTGATTAAAAAGATTTGTAGAATAGCAGTTCGGAGAAGGATCAATATTCTAATAGTTTGAATCTACCAATTCCCTACTGAGTCCCTACAAATCCCCCGTAGAATTCCCTCCTTGTTCGAGAACTATTGTAGGCTTTTATTATGGAAAAATTACATATTCCCTTTTTTTGGAAATGAATTGAATCCGATGTATTTTTAATTTAAGGATACTCATATTTGAGTAAATGCTCTGTTTTTATTATTAAACAGTATATTTATTTATTTATATCTGCCGGCCTGAATATTCGCGAAATCTTGTTAGAAATATATGCGCCCTCCTGTCATTAGATCTGACGTGCCCGGATGTCTCGGTCACGTAGGACCTCCTGATCAAACAAAGTCCGAATAGTACTTATAAATACGCATCTTTCCCATTTGTCGAAATTGTTTTTTAGAAATGGATTAAATCCGACATATTTGGAATTTATATGTTTCAATGTTCTTTTTATGCGAGTATCCATTAAAAAATAACGTTTAAACAAATAAATTTAAAATATTCCCTTTTTCCCTTTTGTTTTGCAGATCTAAAAATCGACGAAAACCTGGCAGATACGAATTGCCTGCTCCTGAGTCGAACCACAGCCAATCATCCCCAAGTCATCAAGATGAGCCAGCTCCCAAACCGTTACCCAAAGTTGGGTCCTCGGGATTGTGGATGTCGAAGCCTATAATGCATACCCAGGGTCCGAATGACGCCTACCACCAGTTAAAACCGAACGGGGTTAGGAAAGAACCTGTGATGATGCGAGAAATTTTGTCAACTCCTAACGTCAATCAACGTAAGTTTCCTTGATAGCATTTCGAAAGCAGCTAGAATATTACGTTTGACAGTTATGCAACTAGTGGAAATAAATGCAGTCAGTTTAATTCTAATTTCAAGGTGGGGCTGTAAGATTCAAAGGGTAATCATTTCTTACTCTCCATAAAAAAAGAAAAGAAAAAAAGGAAAAAAGATGTTTAACAGCTCGGAAGGAGAAATCGGTGAGGTTAGTTCGAATTCCAGTCGAGTTTTTACATTCACTTTTATGCAATACCTATGGGAAAGCTATGAATTCATATCTTCTCCTTTCAACAACTTGTTAAATAGTAAGAGAGACTAGGCTTTTTAGCCTTGCCTGCCAACCAGTGTAGAAGAATTAATTCTCTGAATTCCCAAATCTGGACACATGGAACTCGTTAGCGTCGGAACATATGGGTGCATAAATGTAGGAAATACTCCGACAGAAAACCAACTTTTCCTAAGAGTATAGAGATTGTACGTTGGGCCAATCACCTCCACCCCGATTCGATTACAGAAGCCTTATCTGTCACGAGGCACCAGGCTGATAACATACATTCGCTTCTTAAGCGCGTTTAGAATTTATTAAACAATTACTTGAAAAACTTTAATGCCTTTTATATTATAGTAACGCAACAATTTCTGGCGGTAAATTCAGCAATAAAAACGCTTGGACTTCAGCGCCAAATGCATTTAAACCCGATATGTGTAAGCAGGCTCTGTTTTTATTTCTTCTTCTGATAGCTGCCCACCGACTTTACCGCTGCACTACTATTCTCAGTCTCGTTTAGCTTTAGTTATTTTCTGCACTAGCGAGCTAAGTATGTATTTGACAAGGAAAACTTATTGATTATGCACTTAAAATTTATTTTCGAAATTTTACGGCCTTCGCTCTATAGGTTATACATTTAAAAATTAGAAGGAAATAGATTGCCATTGCTTAGTAATTGCTACATGTTGAGAATTCCTCAGAAACATAACAGCGTCGCTGGATAGCAAATATTAGTTTGAGCAGTAAGCGGGTGACAAAATGGGCACAAAGCGCGAATTACAAAAAGGTGAATGATGCATAATTAACCACGTTTGGAGCATAACAGGTAAAGTAGAGAAAACTTAAGTTAATTTTTTCTGTAGCTTAACATGTTCTTTTAAAGTAGGTACCACCACTAAATCGCAATATCTAAGGTTTATATGATTTTTTAAAAATGAAAAAGCTATTAAATTTACTATTTCCAGAAAGCAAAATATTCTGTGGTGTCTTTCAAACAGAAATTATATTGATTGGAATCGAATTTTTTTCAGTAAAATCTATAAAATCGGCCATTTTGACACAATTGCAAAACAAAAATTAATTCTCGGTTATAAATTAAAAATCTTGCAAGAATATAGTATATATCAGTGAAACGTTATTTGAAGAAAATTATCAAATTTAAACTTAATCTGATTTGAAACAAATATTACATAAAATGTTGCATGCAAGCATTTCTTAACCACGGTGTCTTGTTTTTCTGACGTGTTGATCGATTTATTTATAAATTATTATAATTAAAATGAAAACAATTCTTGCAAAAATTCATTGTTCATCAAAAAAATTATTTTTCTTAAGACTATAATATACTTAATATATATTATTTATAAAAGTAATTAAAAGCTCATCTAATGTCATGATTTTATTGCATTTTTTATTTTACTGTCCAGAGTAAATTTTCAGGAAATCAATATCTGTTTGAAAAAAAAAATGATTTATATTCCCCAAGGAGTCCTGTTCTCAACTAATAAAATTTTTTTGCGATCAGAATTTAATTTCACAAAACTTCATGAAATACATAAGTAGAGGTGGGGGTAACAGAAGTAAAAAAAAAATATTTTTTCCAAAATTTTCTAAAAATAATAATTTAAAAAATAATTTAATTCATTTGTGAATAAGTTCTAAAAGTTTAAGAAACTTTACAAAGTGCAATATAAGTAACTATGTTGTAGGGCAGAGGTTAAGCAATCTAATCCTGAACTTGACTGTAATGGGTTCCACTCTCACTATTGTAACTATGTATAGCACTAAGTTTAGCTTAGTAAATATCAAGAAGGAGGTACGGTGGAGAGCGGCTCGGATTGAGAAATCAGAGAGCTGAGTTCGAATTCCAGTCGAATCCATTACATTCACTTACGTGCTAAAAAAGAAATGGCAACCTACATGGGGTGGGGAATCTGCCTCGTCAGTTATGTATCGAAAGATACATGATCGCCTAAGCGTGTATCACGCATGGCACATAACTGACTTCGAATTCCATTTGAATCCATTACACTCGTTTACGTGCTAATACCCTTGGGAAAGATATGAATCCTCTTCTCCCCCCCCCCCAGCTATAGGTAAAAAGCAGGACAGACCGGGTTCTATAGCCTTGGATGGCAACTGATCTACCGCAGAAAGAAATGGCAACCTACTGCGGGAAAAATATGATTCGTCAGTCATGTATCGAAAGATACATGACATGATCGCATGGTCGAGGGTTTTAAAAAGGAGGCACGGTGGAGTCATGGATAGCGGCTCGATTTGAGAGCCGAGTTCGAATTCCAGTCGAATCCATTACGTTCATGTGGGAAAGGTGTGAATCCTCTTCTTCTCCCCCTTCAGTGTGTCCCGTGAGTTAAATTCTTCAGATCAACACCTCTCTTTATGGGCTATGTCTCCCTCAAGACGGAGGCGATCATGGCTCCCTACAACTTCCTGTGCTTTGTAGCTCTTAATAAATTTCGTCTGTTATTTTTCCTAAACCCTGTCTCACCACTCATTTACTCAAGCTAAGTATGTTATGCGTTGTTTTCCTCTCTCTTGCCTTCAATCTGCCTTGTGAGTATCAAATTCTCCAAGACGTCTTTCTTCATTATGTGACCTAGAAATTTCAACTGCATCTTTCTGATGTTAAGTATGTTACCTTTTTGCTTCTATTTTCTCTAAAACTTCATCGTTTCTCATGGTCCATGGTATCCTCAGCATCCTTCTGTATAACCACATTTTCTGTTTCTTCAAGTTTCTTCTTCATCTGGCTGCCGTACAGGAGGACAGATATCACATAACAGTTTCGTACTCTTTTCATTGTTTCTAGCGAATAATGAACCGAAAAACCGACGTCACGCTGAATAAACCTAGACTGGTTGACAACCAAGGCTAGAGAGCCTTTTCTAGTTTGTTATTTAAACAATAGGTGGTGCAGGAAGAAAAGGTGGATTCATACTTTTCCCAGTGTGTGAAAGTGAACACAACGAAATCGACTGGAATCTGAACTCGGCATGCTGATTTCATTTTCTACGTGTACATTCCTTACATCCACTAATAGTAATAGAAACAATATTAACATTTCTTCAATGACGCATTGTTAATTGTCATTAATTTTCTTTTACTAGTTTTTATTTCAGCTTTCAAAAACTCCAACACAGTCGTGCCTATTATACAATTTTTACCTATTATGTCCATAAAACTTATAAAACCCCATAAACCACATTAAATTTAGGAAATGCTCTTCGTATGGAGGCATGGTGGTGTAATGGATAGCGGCTCGGATTGAAGAATCGGAGAGCCGAGTTTGAATTCCAGTCGAATCCAATACTAATACCCCTGAGAAAAGTATCCCCCCCAGCTATGGATAAGTAGCTGAACAGACCGGGTTCTATAGAAATAATATTATTGGCCTGCCGCAGAAAGAAATGGCAACCTACCTCGTCAGTCATGTATCGAAAATCATGTGATGGTCTAAGCGTGTATCACGCATGGCACATAACTGACTGAAAACAACATAATCAACAACTCCCAAGCAATTCTATTAAGTGGGTTGTCTGTCACACGATGTTTAAGTAACAAAAACTATAAATAAATAAAATAAAGTTAATAAAAATGTTGAAAAGATAAATTAAATAAAAGACAAATAAAAATAAATAAAATAAAATGAAAATTATAAATCGACAACAAGAGAAAAGAGGGCTAAGAAAATCTAATACTCACAATACAAGAAAGAAAGGAGGGGTAGAGGGGAAACAGAAAGTATGGCAGAGTGGAGACAAAGAGGAATTGTAAAAAAATCAAACGTTGCTTAGAAAAACAGGAGACGAGAAGTTGTGGAGAGCCATAATCGCCGACGTCCTGAATGCACACGAACATAAAATAGGAATCGACAGGTGATGCTCTTTGAATGGCGTAACGGTTCTCATCATGGAAAATGGAATTAGCAGACTAACTTTAGATTCCAACCTACGCAATTTATGTTCAATTCCCATTAATGCTCTTGCAAAAAGTCGCGAACCCATTTCTCCCTGTGCTCTTGCCTATAGATAGAATTCATTGATTGAGTTGTTGTTGACAGTTTATCAACCTTTTGCAGGTTATTTAAAGTTAGAAAATATTTTAACGTTGTAAGAATTGTTTTTATTACTGATAGAAGTCCTACTAATTAATCCATAGCTGGTGGGAGAAGATGTGGATTCATACTTTTCTCAAGGTTATTTGAGCGTAAGTGAATATAACAAACCCGACTGGAATTGGAACTTTCCGTTCTGATTTCCAATTCCGAGCAATTATCCATTACATAACCTGAATATCCAAGTTATCTCTAAGCGGTTACCCATGTAGGTACTGACTAAACTCGACGTTGCTTAAGTTCAGTAGTTGTACGCGAACCGGTGTTTCAACGTGATATGGCCGTATAGGTGGAAAGATGTCAGGATACAAAATGTTTCGTCACAAGATTATATGTGATTGAGCTCCTGGCCAAATAATTTCCTTATCATTCGCTTTTCTACCTGGATAGTAATATCAGTAAAAAGCTGTTACACCCAATGTCAAAGTTGATTATACGAGAATAATGGTGGAGATCTGCTTTGTTTCAATTGCTATAAAAAAAGGAAATTGTATTTGTTAATGAATACATTAAATTGTTAGGAGTCAGTATTTCAATTTATTGTTGTCGGCTTCTTAGTAACTGGATTGATTTTTTTTTACGGGCAAATATT